TTAAGCTTTGCTTTTCGTTCTCTCCTCAACTGCCAGAAGGAGGGGACTCATCTGCAGATGTTTTATTCCAATAAAGCCTTTTTCCTTGGATCAACTTTGAATCCTGGTGGTTTTTCTTAGCCACAATCTCACACTTGTGTATGATATAAATAAGGGAATATGATCAAAAAGACATTATAATGATAGGGGAGGAAAAATTTAAAGTGGCTAGGAAAAAAAAGAGGGAGAAAAATAGTGTGTGTGCGTGTTTGTGTATGTATGCATATGAGAGGGAGATTCAGAAAATGAAGGGCGGAAGTATAAGAGATGCCTAAACAATATGAAATAGTGACAATGGCGACTGAGAATTGGGAGGAAGAATATCGCGCCTATTTTGGATCAACATGGAGGATGCCCACCTATCATCGCACCATCCATGCACTGATACTTTGTTGATTTATTGCTTACAAGATGACAGGGATAAGTATAAACATCGTTATGGATACATGAAATGGATACAAATAAGCAAAATAAAAAGAAACTATAGGACAGGGACGGTAGGCACGTTGGGGCGCTTATGCTCGTCCCCTACAGCCTCTGACGCAGAAAGGAGAGGAAAAAAGAAAAAAACTGGGCAAACCAAACAGCCTTCCCCCTGCCCTTCCCCCCGCCCTCCCCGGGCCCCGATCTGGCCGCGCTTCCGAGACCTTCCCTGCGCAGCGCCAGGGGATCGTGGCCGGTCCCTTCCCCAGTTCCCGCCTTGCCCTTCACTGGATAGAGGGTCTCAAGCAGCGCCCCTGGGAGGGGGGGCAGGAGGGGCGGGGCCTCGCAGGGGGGGGCAGGACCACCGCCCGCCAGCCGGGAAACGAAATCGAAAGCGCCAGCAGCCCTTCGGCTCCACTGCGCAGGCGTCCCGGCTGAAGCTGCTTTCCTCCCCGTCTGCTGCCCGGCAGGAGCTTCGCAGGTGAGCTCAACTCCCCCGCCCAGAAGTGACGCCCCCCGAAGGGTCCCAGGCGGGGGGGGGCTTCAGGCGAGGCTCCTGCACTCCCCGAGGGGGGCCGGGGGGGGGGGCTTTGAGGCAAAGCAAGGAAGACCCTCCGAGACCCCACGGGCTGAGCTGGAGGGACCCGAAGAGAGCCGGAGGGGGCTTCCCTTCCCTCTTCTCCGCCCACTGGGCAGCCTCCCCCTCCCCCTTTTGCAAGAAGCCCCTTTGCTTGTCTGCCCCTCTTCCCCCAGGACAGGAAAGGGGGGGGCTGGGGTGGCCTTAAGCGGAGGAGGTTTCCCAGCCTGCTCCCTGCAGGAGGGGGAGAGGCTAAGAAAGGAAAAGCCTTCCCCCCCCCCCCCCCCCCCGAAAGGGCAACTTCCCCTCCAGGCTCTGCAAAGGGGGCTGAAGAGCCCATGGAGGCCTCAGGGGAGGAGACCCTGGAAGGGCAGCTGGGCCAGGAGGCCACCTGCCCACTGTGCCTGCACTTCTTCGAGCAGCCGATGGTCCTGTCCTGCGGGCACAACTTGTGCCACCGCTGCCTGGCCAAGCTGGGCCCTGAGCCTTCCTGCCCACAGTGCAGAGCCAAGGTGGAGCCCAGCAGCGCCTGCCCCAACCGGGCCCTGGCCAACGTGGTTCGCCTGGTGAAGAGGCGTCGGCTGTCGGAGGGAGCCCAGGAGGAGAGCAGCGGCCAACTGCTGTGCCAGGAACACGGGCGGCCCCTGCAGAGCTTCTGCTCCCACGAGAAGAGCCTCCTCTGCCCCGACTGCCTGGAGGGGCACCAGGGCCACCCCCTCCGGTCTCTGCCTGAGGCTGCAAAGGGGTACAAGGTAGGCACCAACTCCCTGGGGCACTGCATCAGCTCTTTGGGGGGGCAGGCACAGGGGTCACCCAAAGTCCCCTGAATGATGGGAAGAGCTACCAAGTTAAAAAAAGAAGAGAACCAGGCTCTTTTTGGGCAGCGAGAGAGGAGAAGGTGGGGGAGACCAACTCTTAGTTGCTTTCCTCCTCGTGGGCCCCTGCCTGTCCCTGGGACCCTCCAGCAGGGCCTCTCCTTGAGTTTGGCACAGAGTTCCTGTGGCCCCCTCTGGGTGGGAGAGCTGCCATTTGGGACCCAGGAATGGCACCCTCTCCTCCGCGTGCAGGATATGCTAAATGGCCTCCTGGAGCCCTTGAGGAAGGAGGAGCAGAAGTTTCTGGAGCAGAGGCAGGCCGAGGAGCAGAGCTGGCAGAAGTGTCAGGTGGGTCTCTTGGGGAGGGGGCAGGAGGCAGCCCCCCAGGGACGCTGGTTCTGTGGCTGGGAAATCTCCCCCTCCCTCTGAAATCTCCCCATTTTCTGCCCCACAGGAGCTTCTTGCCACCGAGAAGCAGAAGTTGGGCCTGGCACTGGAGTCCCTGCAGGAGCTGATCTGGGAGAGGAAGCTGGTCTGCCTGGCTAATCAGGAGGAGAAGATGGAGGCCGAGCGGGCGGTGGCCCTGGCCAAGCTCTCAGGGGAGGCCTTCCGCCTGCAGCAGCTGATGGCCCAGACGGAGAGGAAGTGCCGCCAGCCGGATGGGGAATTCTTGCAGGTGGGGGGGCCCTTGCTGGCCTCAAGGGGGGAGCAGAAGGTCCCCAGGGGGGCGGAGGGGGGGGATCGGCAACCTTTGCGAGGGCGGCACCCATTTCTCTCTTCTCCTCTTTCAGGACATCCAGGACACCGTAGACAGGTAGGTGCCATCTTGCCTTTCCCCTCCCCTGTCTCTGTGGGTCGGTTTGTGCCCAGAATTTCTGGTGTGGCCGCATCCTTTTGGATTTTGTGGCTGAGAGATGCTAGTTGTGGGGCCTTTGGTGCTGTCGGAGCTCGGCTGACTTCCTGCAGACGTTTCGTTACCCAGCTGTTCAGTCCTAGGCCTCCCCAAAAAGCACTAAGTCAATTCTGGGTCCTGGCAAAACCTCCTTTATTACATTAATGTAAACTTATTTCATTCACAGTCAGCCAACAGCTTGGCAAACTGTCTTGCAAAGGTATGCTAATTAGCTCAGGCCTTATCAATCCTGGAACGCTTCCTTGTAAATAGTTCCACACTCAGTGATGACAGGGAAGGGCTGGGTTATACAGACAAATCTCCCAAGGCTCAAACAAATGAGCGAGTGAGTTGTTTCCTGCAAATGCCCCCTCCCCTTTTGGTTCTCTTTTAATCCTGATGGGAGGGGGCATTCATTGTCTACCTGTGGCCTTACTCCCACATTGACCCTGAGTTCGTAATCGTTCCTTCCTTTTGGCAGCTCTGTGTATGCGCAGGCTGGGGACCAGTTCCAGAAGCTCCCCCACCTCAGTGCTGTCCAAGGCTGAAGGCAGCTGATGACTGCCAGCCTGCCCTGGCCCCATCTCTGCCTCTGACCCAGAGCCATCATCCGAACCTTCCTCAGCCTCCAAGACTGTTCCGCATTCCTCCCCAACCTCCTCACTACTGCCCGAGTCTGTTGCCTGCTGCGGCAGCTGCCGGCGGGCCACAACACTGACTTGGTAACACCATCAGTGCTGGGAGGGAGTGGTGTTTGCTCCCTCCTGATGCACAAGTAGGTTGCTTTCAGTTGGGGAGCTGTTTATGCCTCAATGGTTGCTCAGGCATTGTAAACAACACAGATGAGGCACCACCAATGCAGACCACCAATCCAACAGCAAACAGCAGCCCAACCAGGGAGCCCCCAAGGAGAGAACAACGGTCCCACCAATACTGTCAGGGGAAGCCAAGAGTGCAGACAGGCCTTGACCTCATGACCACAGCTGAAGCCAAGATTTCTGTTACTAAGTGAGACAGTTGTTAAATGAGTTTTTTCGACCTTTCTTGCCATACTTTTTAAGCGTATCGCTGCTGTTGATAGGTTAGTAACCTGGTTGTTAAGTGAAGCTGGTTTCCCCATGGGCTTTGGTTGTCTGAAGGCCACATGACCTTGGAATCCAGCAATGGTCATAAGTGTGACCCCGTTGCCAATCATCTGCATTTGGATCCCGTGGCCGTGGGGACGCTGCAAAGGTTGAAACTCTGCAAAAAGTCCAGATGGCACTTTTTTCACTGCCATAACTTTGAACGTTCACAAAACAAACAGTTGGGGGTTACCTGTAGGTGAAAGGAGAGCAAACCACAATCCCCCGTAGCACTGATCATGTTGCTCAGCTGCGTAATGAAAGGTCTGCAAGAAAACAGCTGATCCCCAAGGACCCCCAAGGGCAACTCTTCTCTTCTGCTGGAGGTTCGCTTTCTCCGCAGCCATTCGGACAATTCCCTGGGCCAACTGTCCACTTGAAGTCGAGGGAAGTGGTGGAAACTCAGTTTTTGAAGGAAACCTGGTTTCTTTGCTTAGGACCCCTTAGTCCTTGGTACAGTAAGATCAGAATCACACTGACGTTTGTGTTGAGTTTGTGACTTTTCTTGCTTCTGTACTGAACTCTACACTGGTTCAGTGTGCAGAGTGGGTTGTGATCAAAGCAAGAAACAATGGTTGCATAGCAAACAAGCCAGGATTCACGCCATATGCCAAACTCAGGTTTGGAAAATCCAAGTCCTGTACTCGCCTGGCAAGATGCTGGAAAGGACCAGTTTGTTTCACACACACCATGGCCAACCAAGCCCTCACCCAGCCCCCCTGTGTTGTGGGGAGGCAGCCGGGTATCTTTGTGAGGCTGTTGTCAACTCATAAAACATTTTGTAGACAAGTTTTATGGTTGACAACAGAAAGAATGGGGGAATTTCAAAGAGCAGGCGGCAGTGTGGAATTGAAAGTACATTCCATTCATATTTTCTTCTAAGACTGATTAGATGACTGAAGCTTCTGCCGCAAAAAAATTAATTGGAGAATATGATTGATGTCTCTTGGCTATGGATGTTTTTCATTGGATGATACACCCGGGGGGGGGCAGGAAAAGCAGGATCAAGGGTGACAGTGAATTACGTATCTCAGAGTTGGCTATGCCCAGGTTAGTGCCAGACGTGGAATGTTACCTTCAAATAAATCCTCTTTAGTTTTAGGAGTGTGGCTCAAGGCTCATGATTTAATTGGAGTAACTGCCGGAACCCTGACAGCCACCCTCCTTGTGTCGCAGGTGCCGGAGTTACGTGGTGGGGCGCGTAGAGAGCATCTCTCCCAGGCTGCAAGGCAGACTCCGCACCATCTTGGAGAAAAGCGCTTCTATAAGGCAGATTGTGGACAATTACAAAGGTGAGGGGCCCTTTCAGGAGGGGGCTGGGGGTCTTGGGCCCTCAAGAGGAGCCCCAGGAGTTCTGGGCCCTCAAGAGGAGCCCCAGGAGTTCTGGGCCCTCAAGAGGAGCCCCAGGAGTTCTGGGCCCTCAAGAGGAGCCCCAGGAGTTCTGGGCCCTCCTTCTGCCCCCCTTCCTACTGGGGGATCTCGGGGGAGCCAGACCCAAACCGGCTCCATCCAACCTCTGGCTGGGTGAAGGCGGGGGCTGGCACTTCCACTGATCAGTCACCCCCCCACAACCATGTTCCTTTGGGTGGGGGTTCACTGGGCACCTGGCAGGGACAGAGAAGCTGCTGCCAACAGGGTGGCTTCCGCTCACGGGCATTGCCCACGGGCGGCTGTTTCTCATCCCGGCCCCGTTTTTCCTTTCGTCCTCTGAATCTCAGCCTCTCTGCAGTCGACTCTGACCAGGGAGAACCTGGAGCGACCTCTGACCACAGGTAAACCCCCTGGGGCTGGTGGGGGGGAGTCAGTGAGGGAGGGGCTTGCAAAGACCACCAGGCCTTACAGCAGCGGTTTCCCACATCGCCAGGAGTAACGCCTGCCAGGAGTGGCTTCCTCCGTGGGGTGGAAGCCCTGAGTCAGGAGGGCCCCCAAAGGCAGCCTCTGGGGGAGGAGTGGGGTCCCTCAGCAGCCAGGTGGAGCCGCCCCTTCCCTGCCACTCCTTGGCCCTTCCAGAAAAGAGCCACGGGGGAGGGTGCTTAGAGCTTCCCAGGCATAGAATTGCACAGCGGGGGCCTCGGGTGTTGAGCTGGGGCCTGTGAGAAGTGGGGTGGGGGGCTTGGAGAAGCCCCTGATTTTAACTTCTATCCCTTCCTCCCCAGCACTTGCTGCAGCAAAGCCAAGATATCATCAAGGTAACAGCACACGGAGGAAGAGGGAACGTTCTGTAGCGGGTGGAGTCCGTAGAGGGCGGCAGATGTTGGGCATCCCCTGCCTGGCAAGGGCCCTTCCTGAACCAGCCCTCCAGGAACCTAGTAAATGGGGGACCCCTGACCTTGGGGCTCTGCAGCCATGATGCTTCAGTCGCCATGTGTGAAAAATGGTTGTAGGTCACCCTTTCAGTGCCATTGTAACTTCAAACCATCACTAAAGGAACAGTTGTAAGCCGAGGATGACCAGTGCCATCTCCAGGTGCCCTGGGGAATTGAAGTAAGTGCAGGGCCTAGTGTGGGTCAGACCCCCCAACTGCCCACAACCCCCCAACTTCAGAGGCAGCCCCACTGACCTCCGGCTGCAGAGACCTGCTGTACTTAGGAATTGGTCCCATTTTGGGGGGGGGCTTGCCAGCCACTTCATCTCTGGCGCCAGAGAGGACCAAACGGCTCAGAAGCACCCAGCCCTGCCCTGCTTTGCCCTCCGTAGCCCAGAGTCATCAATCATGTTCTCCAGTTAGATATTTTCTTGGGAGAAACTTCAGTCACCTAGTTACTATCTCTAAAAAGGTATGTGTGGAATGCACTTTTGGTTTCCAAACTGCCGCACTGCTCTTCCAAACCCCTTCCCCCCTCCCTTTCTGTTGGCAACTCTAAAAAGACCTTAGAAATGTTTTATGAGTTGACACCTAGCCCATCTTAAAGAGTTTCTGTTCTCCATCCTGCAGCCTTCATCACGCCGAACGGCTCGACCGCCCACCCCCGACTCCTGTGCCAGCGCTCCACTGTGACTTGGGCCGACAGATACCAGAATTACCCAGATGCGCCAGAGAGGTTCGACCAGGAATTCTGTGTCCTGGGCTGTGTAGGATTCAACACAGGATGGCACTGGTGGGAGGTGTCCGTGCTGGAGGTGGACGACAATGCCCCAGTGCGGGGCAAAGCATGCTGGGCCATCGGGGTGGCCAAGGAGTCCGTCCGCAGGAAGGGGAGGTTCCAGCTGAGCCCTCGGGAAGGAATCTGGGCCATAGGGAAGAGTGTTAGGGGGGAGATTGTCGCTTTCAACATGGATCTGCAGAAGCTGAGCTTGAAAAAGCCGTTGCAGAGGCTGCGGGTGAGGCTGGACTGGGAGGCAAAAAAAGTGGAGTTCCTGGATGCGGAGACGGAGGATTCCCTCTACACCTTCCAGATGGGGCCCCTCCTGGGGGAGACTCTCCGGCCTTTTTTCTATCTGGGCCAGGAGTGGGTCACCCTTCAATGTTAGGAATTTCCACTTCCTATAAAAGATCTTTGGGACTGATAGTCCTCAACTTACAACAGTTCACGTACTGACCAGACTTGAGGAGCTCAGCCCCACCTCCTCACGCCTTCAAGGCCACATCTGGCAAGAGGACCAGATGCGGTATCCCCTCCCCGCACCATGCCCAACCTCCTTATCCTTTTGCCATGCTCAGTCCAGGCTGGTTGGGGGCTGCCAAGAGTTTCGTGGCTCCGACTGACCGAGAGGTGGTGGGGCTGTGACGCAGTGATGCCTCCTGGCGCCTCTGAGCCCCGTTGGTCCCTTGTTTGGTTAAGACCCTCCATGCCAGGTGCTGCACCCTTGTTGTGCGTTAACATGACGTTTCTCAACCTGGGCACCTGGGAGATGTGCGGACTTCAACTCCCAGCATTCCCAGCTAGCAGAGCTACCTGGGGAATTCAGGTGTTGAATTCAGGAATTCAAGTCCCTGCATCCTCCAGGTGCTGCCAAGGTTGGGCATCCCTGCCTGACTCTGTGGCTGTCAGTTTAGATGAGAGAGAGACGGTTAAAGAGCCTTTATAATCAGTAAAAGTGATACCTTAATGCCTGCATGCGATTCTACATTTATGTTACTCTGAACTTATTAAAAACACAACATATTTATGTTTTATTTGTATCATTTATCTAGGTGATTTACAGATACTGAATTAAGTTTTTTTTTTTTTTGAAAACAATTTTATTGATTTTTAAAGACCAACAAAAACATAAAAACATCCAGCTTTCTTTCATAAATATACAAGAACTGTGTCGGTTGGTTTACCAATTTTTTGTGCATCCATTTCATAGTCACAATTACAGTTACATTGCATAATAACTCATATTATCAATCAAAGATTAAATACCCTAATATCACTATTAAACAATCATTTGACTATAATTTTATTCATTCATACTTTGCGAGATAACTATAATTTACTTAGTTTATTTTATAACAATTCATATACTCCTACCAAATCTATCCTAAAAACATTTTATAGATATATATTAAAAAAAAGAAATATATCTTAATATATTCATTGTTTTCTGAAATTCTAGATATTCTATTGTTGTGATTCCGGCATCTGCTACAGGTTTTTTGAATGACAGCTCCA